CCCCTCCATGTCTCTTTCTTGGTGGCAATACAGACTCTGGCAAGGGCAGAGGAGTCTGGGTGTCAGCAGGGGAGCTTTGGAGCGATGGTGGGAGCACGGGCTGTGCAGTGGCCCTCCAGTGGCTGGAGCTCTGTGATGTTGGGGTCTGCAGGACTTCTCTGGGGACAGAACTGATTTTTCTGGCTGGTAGCCAGGGGTCCAGGCAGGGAGTCCCTGGTGCCTGGGCATGGCTGCTGTGTCCCAGGGAAGTGCAGGAGAGCGAGGCAGAGGGGGCAGGACTGAACCTGGTGTGTGTCTGGGCACCGGCAAAGCTCTCACAGGGTTCAGGAGTGTTTTTCAGGAGCACACACCCAGTTTGTACAGGGAATTTTGTCTTTTTTACTGCATCTGGCCCTTTCCCATCCTTCTGTGAGGTGTTTCCCAGTGGGTGTGAGCCGCAGTGGCTCGTGGGAGCTGTGATCTGGCTGGAAGGACCTGTTGGTGTGGAGAGCTGGGCCCACGGGGTCTTCAGCTGCCCAGACACCAGGAAAACCACAGAGCTCCTGCAGGCCTCGCTCTGCTGGGCACTGTCAGCCTCCCCTGCCAGACATACACGTCCTGCATGTAAGATACAGTTATTTTTGGATTTCTTTGAAGCAAACAGCATTTAGCATATGTCATCTTGTATGTATGTCAGCATCGGCTTCAGAGCGTCTTCTGCGAGGAGCAGGTTCTTGGTAAATGTTGTTCTGTTGCTGCAGAGCCTGAAATCAGGTGAGGGGCATCGTGTGCTGTGGATGTGCGGAAAGGTGATGCTGCCCTGGAGATTTGGTAGTTGACGTGGTGCAAGGAATGCCTGGATCAGGGGGAGAGGAGAGGTTGGGAAGTGTGTCAACCTGATTTTTAAACAATATGTTTTTAAGCAATTTACTGGTCTCCCCTAAGGACGAGCTGAAGGGCTGCTGGGTTTTGAGGTTCCAGATGACTTGTCTGCAGGACACTTGTGTCCTCTCCCAGCAACCCCCCTCGCTGATGTCAGGGTGGTGCCTCCACGGGCACTGGCTGAGTCCATGGCTCTTCCAGCAGGTCCCATCTGTAGGCTCCGCTCAGTCCATCGGATCCCACTGTTTGGACCCCTGATGGGAGCGTTGCCCTCTGTGCTGCTGAGGGGGGAACTCTGCAAGGGCTGGGGGTCCCCAGCAGCAGCCCCTCAGCTCAGGGCAGGGGAGAGGCTGCCCTTTAATCCCATCTCTCTGCTCCAGCATCCCGACATCCCGCTGCCAACAGAGCTCCCGTTGTTTACCCAACTCGGAGGAATCGGTTTACAAGGCTCACAAATACCCTTTTCACCTTTCCCATCAGAAAACACCTCCCGAAACAATGAGGAAATTGGATGCCGCCACCTGATCGGTCCCCAGGAACCTGCAGGGCTGGGAGCTGGGGGCCGGGGGTGGTGGGGGGATGCCTGGCTGGGATGGCTGGGATGGTCCCAGCACGGCTCTGCGGGTGGGCAGCCACGGGTGCCACCCAAAAACCACCTCCAGGGGCTTTAAGGGATGAAGCTGCCAATAAGTGGAGAGGAGGCCAGTGCTCCCCACCTGCTCAGCTGGCAAAAAATACTTGTTTTAAACTGTAGTGGCTGTAGTTAATCATTTCCACGCCCTTGAACTCCAGGAGGAAGGATGTTACCTGTGAGCTGGTGATGGTGCCAATCACAAACTCCCAGAATGGTTTGGCTTGGAAGGGACCTTAAAGATCCCCATGGGCAGTGGCGCCTCCCAGGTTGCTCCAAGCCCTGTCCAACCTGGCCTTGAACACTTCCAGGGATGGGGTAGGAATAAATCTGGACCATCCTCCTGAGCAGTGGGCAAGGTAAAGGAGGGTGATACAGGGTGGAAACTGTTTTTCAGCATTAAGGTTGAGTTAAATTTTAGTTTTCCTTATATTTTTCCCTCTCTACCTTAAAGCAGAGAAATCAAACTGTATTTTATGGAGGAACAGCAGATTCCCCCCTCCCTCCCTCCCCAACATTACAGCGGGTGCTCTGAGGGCACGATGAATTTCCCTATTAATTTAGAAGTTGCTCTGTTCATTCCTCCCGGTTAAGATAAATCTGAAGACATGTCCTTGTGAAGACAAGTCAAGAGTGTAATTCCTTTTTGTCTTCAGCCATTCCTCTGAACTAAATTTCCTCGTCCCCAGAACTGGCTGAAGTCTTGTGTTCAGGCAACACGCAACAATTTTTGGACTCTCATTTTTTCCTCTCTTTTTCTTGGGATAAATGTGGCTTTTTACTGTGTATTTTAAAGGAGAATTTCCTGGAGAACTGGCCTCTTGCATGGTGGGAGCTGTTGGTCTTCTCTACGATGGTCATTACAAGCTGTTCTTGTGACAGAGCAAAATTTTTTGGGAACATCTCTGCTTTTGGAGAAGAGAGAGGACACTAAGGGGGAAACAGAGGAGAAAAAACAGGGAAATTGGAGGGCAAAGGGAAACGTGTGTTGGGGGGAAATGTGGCTGGCAGGGAGAAGCAGTTGGAGGGAGCACCTCAGAAGTCCCGTGCACGGTGAGGTGGCTCTGTCTTGCTTGGTGTAGGAGATCTGGAAGATGTTCCTGGGCTCATTTCCAGGCCAAAGCCGTGTGCTTCTGGAGCTGGGACTGAGCACTCATGGCAGGGATTCCCCTTGTTGTTTTATCCTTAAAGCAAATAAACCAAACGTGGGCCCTGGTCCTGGAGTTCCTCAGGTGAAGAGGTGCCAGCAGGATGTGGTGCTGGGATGTTCTCAGCTGCCTCGGTTGCTTCATGGCCCCTCCCCTGGTTAAAAATCTGCTTGGCTCCATCCCAACAGGCTGGTGTCGTGGGGACCGGTTGGTTTGCAGGTGTTGGCCAAGGTTTTGGCCACGAAGGTGTAATAGGTCCTCCTGGTATGGAGATGAGGGTGGATAGGAGCCTTCTCCTCCCGCTCCGGCGGTGCAAGACATCTGCTCGACTTGTTTGTGGCTTCCTGTTTGGCATCTTCTGGGCAGGAGGGAGCTGGCAGGGGCTGGAGGAGGGAGCTTGAGTCACTCCAGAGTCCTGTGCCAGGAAGCCTCTGACTCAGCCCAGCCGTGGAGAAACGAGTGTGGGATCCAGCTGCCTCTCGGGGTGGGAACCCGGAGCGAGCGTGCAAGTGTTCACTTGCACTGCGTGTCTGCGGCGGGGAGGGAGGGGCAGGGGCTGCTCCCCTGCTCCTGCCCCGCTCCGGCCTTGCGTCAGGGCTCCGGCCGTGGGTGGGGAAGCCTTTATCGCTCCCAAGGCTTTGGAAGCCGTGCTGGCCACTGGCCAGGTGACCTACTTGGTAGCATGAAGCGAACCTGGCTTACCTGCCGGCAGTGCCGTGGATGGAGCCGGGCTGTGCCGTGCTGGCACCGCGGTCGGCATCCCACCTGCATCCCTGGGAGCCCTTCAGGGGTCGAGTTCCCAACTCTCTCGTGGTCACCTTATGCCAGAATCATGGCTTGTGCAAACCTTAATCACTTCCCAAACTTGGTGGGGCCAAAGCCCTGCTGTAATGGCGGTGCCAGGCTTGGGATGATCCCGACAGTCTCCCTGTGCCTGATGCCCCATTGTGGAGCTGCTGTGGGTACTGCTGGAGCTGATGTGGTGGAGGCAGAGCTGCAGCCGCACAGGGAATCCAGCTCTGTGAAGGGGACTGTACCCACCATCCCTGTGCCAACTGTCCTGGGCTGGGAAAGGGCGGGTGCCCGGGCTGCCCGTCTCATCTGGCATCCAGGTGCACATGATGTCGGTGTGTCTGTCCCGCTGCTACAGCTGGCACCGAGTCCAGAGCCTGTGCCAAGGGCACTGGGGGGTGCGTGGGCTCCGGCTCTGCCTGCCAGCTCCCAGCCCGGCATGTGGATGTGCTGGGTTCCTGCAGCCAGAGGCCTGGTGCTGGTTCCAGCTCCGTGGCTTCTTGCTAAAACTTGTACCGGAGCCACGGAGCAGGTTGGTCTTGTGTGTTTGATCTTCCTTCTATGGAGCCTGCAGCTCAACTGGAGCAGCTGGCTGGGGGCAGAAGGTGTCCCAGACCCCATCTGACCGCCAGGATGGACTGGGACAAGGATGGGCTGTGTCTGAGAGCAGAAGGGGAAGCGTGACCGTGCAGCCAAAACACTTGCTTTGTTTTTTGCCATACCCAGATTACATGAGGGAGTTGCAGCAGAGATAACTCTGCAGGAACATCCATTCCCACCTTATCTCCCATCAGGAACGCTTGTTGCCTACATCAAAGTAGATGATCTGCTGCTTCACTCCTTGCTGCCCTAATCCTCTCCTTCATGCTGGAAAAACCTAATCAGAGCCTTGCCCCACCATAACGAGATCCGAATGCTAATTATCAGCATCTTGCCTTCCTTCCCTTCCCAATGCCCTGCCTTCCAGCCCCGAATAGCTTTCCTCCCTCCTTGCTCCTCTCCATCCGGTCCTCCCACGCTCCTGGGCACGCCGTTGAGCCTGGTGAGGCAGAAGTTGTCCTGCAGGATGCTTCCCTCCCTTCCATTTAAGGACAGGAATTCCTTGGGGAGCCGGGGCGTGGAAGGGATCCCTCCCTGCGCCCCATTGTCAGGACTTCTCCCTGTGCCTAATTATTGCCTGTCCCTGCAGGAAGCTCCTTGCCTGGCCGTCGGGCAGAGCCACGGCGTCTCCAGCCCGCCTGCTCCTCAGCCCTTTGTGGGAAGACTCCATTGCTGTTGGATGCCAGGCTTGGGGCTGGGAAGGGTGCCCGCCCTTGTCGGGGCTGGCAAGTGGGACTGACCCCAGCCAGCCCTGGTTTTGTTGGAGGGAGCCCACGCTGGCTCTGTCATGTGCTGGGACGGGGAGGGAAGAGGAGAACTCAATTCTGGTGTCAAAAACCATCTTGCAGAGGGGAAGCAGCAGAGTTGAAGCACAAAATAAATGTTGTGAGTGAGATGGGATGGGATGGGATGGGCTGGTGTGGCTCTTGCTCCAGCACGTGGTAACCTCTCGCCCTCCTCTCTTTCAGGTTCATGACTGGGAAGGGGCTGGTCATCTACCCGGAGATTGGGGATAAACTGGACATTATCTGCCCCAAGGCGGAGCCGTCCAAGCCTTACGAATACTACAAGCTGTACCTGGTGAGGAAGGAGCAGGCGGATGCCTGCAGCACCGTCATGGACCCCAACGTGCTGGTGACGTGCAACCGGCCCGAGCAGGAGATCCGCTTCACCATCAAGTTCCAGGAGTTCAGCCCCAACTACATGGGCCTGGAGTTCAAGCGGCAGCAGGATTACTTCATCACATGTGAGTCGCCCTCCTCCTCCTCGCCGCTGGCCCTGGCTCGGGAGGGCTGCGGGCGCCTGGACAGTGTCGCCAGGCACTCGTGTGGGACTTGGCCAGTGCAAAGAGCTGACACGTACGGAAAATATGTCCCGCTGGCCTGCTGGATGGGAGCAGGGGGAGGAATGTGCCACTGGCTGAGCGGGGCCACCGGTCCGTGTCTGGCTGCTCTGCTGTCCCTGCCCTGCTGATGGCCAGGAGCAGGAACATGACCCCAGACGGGGTTGGCTCTGTGTGTCCAGAGCACTGTCATGCCTGGAGCTTATTTTTTGCTGCCATCTTTGCTGGAGGTGTTGCAGGTCATTTGCAGGACTTTGCTTTGGGGTTTGGGAGAAGGAGGAATGGTGTCCAAGGAGAGGCTTGTCCTTGTCCATGGGTGCTGCTTCCAAGAGCAGCTCCGGCAGCGGGAAGTGCCAGTGATGTGCAGTGTGTGCTGTGATCCAAATGGCTGTAGGATTCTGCACGTTGGCCTGTCCCTTTTGTGTCTTAGTGCTTTTTATGGAGGGGAGAGTGAAGGAGGTTGGAATTCTCTTGGTGCCTGTTGTTTGTGCAGGGGACCATTGCACAGGGGTGTCTCTGCCTGTGCTGGCTGTGGTGTGGATGGAGGAGGACACTGGGGAGCTCGGCCGTGTCCGGGCAGTGCTGCCAGCTCGCTCCTCCTGCCCTCCCCTCCCGCTCAGCCTGGCTGTTCCCGCCTGGCTCTGTGCACCATGCGTGCCGGCGGCGCAGCCCCTGCAAAGGGCACGGTGGCCGTGGCTCGGCTCCCTCGCCATCATCCCTCGCCAGCGAGCGGCCGGCACAGGGGTCAGCCGCCCGCGTGGGAGGCGAGCGCTGGCTGGGGAGCCGCCGTGTTCCCCTCTGTAAACAGGGTATTTTTAGCCTGGAATCTGTGGGAGGGGGCGGCGATGCCGTGGCAGAGCTGAGGGCAGGAGGGACTCTGCCGAGGCGCGGTGCCACAGTGAGGCTGCTGGTGTGGACATCCCAGCCAGCCCACCGGGGCTGGAGTTGTGCTGCAGAATAATTGGGAACAAACCTGAGGCAGAGGAAGCAGCCAGGCCCACCTTTGGCAGGTCAGCCCTGAGCCCCCCTCGGTTCCATCCTGGGAAATTTTTCCTAGTGCTTCCTGGCGTGTGGCTGAGTGCGTCGGGAATGATGGGACTCACAGGGGGTTCTGCTCTCTGCGTGGCCATGGAGATGCCAGAGTGGCTTCTGGATGGTCAGACAGGAAAGTTTTGCTAACAGGAGAGGTGACAGCAGCAGGACCTGGCACAGCAACCCGCTGAGCCGGCTTGGCACGACGCGGTGCTGGCAGCGACCGTGGGCTGAGTCACTGCCAGGCCGGACTGTCCTGGAGCGATGGTCACTGTCCCGGTGCAGCTCTGGGGACATCTGCCCCGTGTCACTCAGGGAACACCAGCTTTGCGGCTGTCAGGGATGCAGGATGTTTCCAGTCTGGTTTTGGGATGCCAAAAGCACTGGTACAACTCCCATGCAGACTCCCATCTCCTTCCTGTATTTTGCACCAGCCTGATGACCCTGGGATGCCAAAGTTCAGCCCTTCGTGGTCCCTCAGCTGATGAAAGGCTTGATTCAACACAGGCTTTGCCCATGGTGGGAAAAGAGGGGGAAGAGGGGCCAAAATCACAGCCTTAGGTCAGGCAAACATCTTGAAGCACTTGGTCAGTGACTCCTCTGTGTTTGGGGGTCAAGTTCAAGCACTGATACGGTCATCAAACTAACAAGGGCTGAAAGAAGGGGTCCTCTGAGCTACATCCCATGGGACCCTCAGGCTGTAAAGAGCCCTCAGAGACAAAAATGTTCCCCAAAACAAGCTCAGAAGTGGAGCAAAGCAATGGGAAGAAACATGGGATCCCTCATATGTCATCCAGGTCCAGGAAGGTGGGGGCAGAGGGATTTACCAGCTCTGAATTAGCCAAATTTTAAGGAGCTGTTTTGCATTTCACACAAAAACTCAAGTGAAAATCAACCTCCTGGAGCTTTCGGAGGCATTTTCACAAGCAGCTGACAGCACGTTGCCAACTCCAAACGTGGCTCCCCAAGGGCCCCCGTGGCTTTGAGTCGGTGCCAGCTCCCCTCCAACGCTGCCGGCACACCTGGGGCACTGCAGGTGACCGGCTCCGGCTCGCTGTGATCCGACGGGATGCACTGCCCGGATTTTGGAAAGCCGCCGTAGCAGTTTACAAAATCCCGGCTGTGCGTCCTGTCCGATGTTTGGCTGAGCCTTTCAAGCTCGTCTTTTTAATATAAAATCCTATTTATCCTCTATTTCCCAGTTTCAGGCTGTCTAGGGAAGCAGCGAGCGGGGTGCTCGGGGCATCCCTGTGGGGTGCCCCCTGTCCCCTCAGGGGGCTGGCACTGCCCTCTGCCCCTCCCTTGGACCGTTTCTGACTTTAATTTCTCTTGACTCCTCCATGCTTTGATGCGAAACCCCTTGGAGCCGGGAGCTGCCAGCTGAACTTTGGCCCCTGGGTGGGCCGAGGATGCTCCTGTGATCTGGCCATACCCTCTGCCGAGCAGCCCCAGGAGTTCTTTCTGCCAAGAAATAAAATAGCCAAAAAAACAAAGTCAAAAGTCTCCCGAGCAGACCACCCACGTGTTGTCTTTTTTTTGTCCCCCATTTTTCCCCCCTCCCTCTCCCCAAGCTTTGCCTGGCCACACAAAGGGTTTTTTTCCTTCCTTTTCATTTCTAAGCCGGGGAAGCGCCGCTGAAGCCGAGGGAGCGGGACGTGTGCCGCTGGAAAACCTGCCCACTGGAGCCGGGGGCTTCCCGGGGTCCCTCCCATTCAGGGCTGCTCCTCGCCCTCGCTTTGGATATGCCAAGCCTTGTTTAGGGACACTTTTATCACGGAGGGACACGGCCCCAGCCCTCAGCTTAGCAATGAAAAGGCTTTTGAAAGTCCCCTGTCCCAGTCCTCTCTGGAGCCTCGCACTGGCCCCCTCCACGCCAGCTCCAGGCTTTCCTTGAAAGCATCTTTACTCCAGAGGCTGGACAGGGGAGGATGATGCTTATTCCTAAGCCTTTCCATAAAGAACAAGATGTGGCATCTCCTGCCTGCAGGTCCGTGGTGGATGCAGAGGCTCAGGGGGAGCACGAGGCTCCAGCAGGATGTAGGCACCATCCCCAGGGTGGGGTGCTGAGAGGGCAGAGGACCTGGGAGTTTGGGAACTGGGTGTTCTTCTCCATGGCAGGCTGTGATTTCTTCCATCCCCGGTCTCCCAGGTGCTTCCCTGACTGCCTTTGGTGCCTGGGTGGGATTCCCTGTCCCTGACATCCTGTCCCCTCCCTACAAGACCATCTTGCGCCAGGGGCAGACAGGGGGAAGCGCGTGCTGATGGCTCTCTGGGTGATTCCGCCTGCTGTGCTGTGTGGGAGGTAGGAAGGTGAGGCCCAACAGGAAGGAATTCTTGCTTTTTTCCCCAAAGGAAAGTCTTTTTGGTTGTTCCTGGGCCAAACACAAAGCCATGGGCAGGCTGCTGGGAGCATCCGTGGGGACTCCGGGGTGGTTTGTGCTTGCAGACTGGTATGTGGATGCAGGTTCTTCTGGCCAGCAGTGAGGCTTGAATCATTCACAGCATCCTCATCAAGGAGGAAGATGCTTCTGGCTCATCAGCAGGCACGTGTTTCCTCCGCCCTCTGTCCCTGCAGAGCTGGTGGAGAGGCTGGTGGCTTGTGAATGGCTGAAATGGGAGGGAAGAATATATCCCAGTGTTTCAAAATTATCCATTTGATTGTGTTTGGGGCTGGCAGGAGCAAAAGGACACAGGAAAGGGAAAACTGAGGACTTTTCTGGGAAGATACTGTCCAGAGGTGAGGTGGGGGCCCTGCTTTGGGCCTACAGGTCCCCTGCCGCAGGTGTGAGAGTGTGGCCATACCAACCTTTCTCCTCAGCCTTGGTTTTGTGGATTTCTGGTGATTTTCTCTGTTTCCTTGGCAGTCCCTGTCCCACTGGAGTGGCCTCCCCTCTCCCTGGGGCCTGTGCTCCTGGGATGCTCGTGGGCAGCTCTGGCCCCGCCAGGGCTCAGCCAGCCCTGCAGGTTGGGCTCCCTCCACCTCCCCTCCTAATTCATTCCAGCTCCTAATTGCGTTTGCTGCTCCTCTTTGAACTTGCTCCAGTTTCACTATCTCTGGTAATGAGGTGCCTGGATAGAGATCCATTAATCCCCATGTCCTGGCAGCAGGGCGGTGTGAGGAGGAGCTCCCTGCCATGTCGGAGCTCTGGATCAGAGAATCAAAGAATAGTTTGGTTTGGAAGGAACTTTTAAAGGTCACCTAGCCCATCCCTGGAATGCCCTATCCTGGAAGTGTCCAAGGCCAGGTTGGGCGGGGCTTGGAGCAACCCCTGTAGTGGGAGGTGTCCCTGCCCTTGGGTAGGGGGATGGAGCAGAATGATCTTTAAGGTCTCTTCCAATGCAAACCATTTCATGATTCCATGATCTTCAGCTCAGTCAGGTCTCTGAGATGTGTGTTGGTGGTGCCCAGCTGTGCTGGTGCTGCCATGCTCTGGCAGGGTCCTGCTTGGGTGGTTCATTCTTCAGTCTTGCACTTGCTCCATCCTCAGATATGGTTCCACAGTTCGTTCTCTGTTTGGTTTAGGGGTTGTTGGTACTCCTGGAAGCCCCTTCTGTGTTCAGTGAGGGGTGGGACAATGGAGACCCCCAGCTCAGCCTTTCGGTGCTCTCCAGGCAGCTGTTTGCAGTTGTGGTGGGCAGTGCCAAGGTGTTGTTCCAGGTGGGATCTCTCACCTGTCCCTCTGGCCAGCCCCTGGGCACGGCCGCAGTGTCTCCTCTCCCCTGAGCCTCTTTAAAGCACAAAAGCTTTGTTTGATGACAATGCTGAAGTAAAAGCGAGGCCCTGGTAGATGTTTCCCCATAAATCCAACGCCTTTGCTGTTTATTGTGAGTCTTTAAGCCCTTCAATCCATTTCTGATGTAATAACGTCCGT